CACAGATCTCTCCAAGGGATTCGTATTATTCATGCAGCCGCAGGGCCTGGACGAACAATGCTAATTAGCGACACGGGTCGTGTTTACTCGTTCGGAAAAGATTCTTTCGGAGAACCAGAGTACTTAGTCCAAGCAAACAAATTTGTCACGACCCCTCGGCTAGTGGATTCTTTAAAAGACATATTTATCGTGCAAGCCGCTATTGGGAATTTTTTCACAGCCGTTTTATCCCGAGAGGGAAGAGTATACACATTTTCATGGGGTAAAGAAGATAAACTCTGCCATCAGACGGATCTTAATGATCTGGAGCCCCGCCCGTTGTTGGGCCCGCTTGAGAATGTTCCGGTAGTTCAGATTGCAGCTGGTTATTGCTATCTTCTTGCTCTGGCTTATCAGCCAGGTGGCATGTAAGCTTTTTCTCTTAAAAATGTCTTAAAAAGCTTTTATTTTTCCTTAATTCATTTTGCTTCATTTTGCGGTTTTATGAAAATTATATAATTCAGGTCTGTTTACTCTGTGGGGTGTGGATTGGGAGGGAAGCTCGGGCACGGGACCCGAGCTGACGAGAAGCAACCGAGACTTATCGAGCAATTTCTTAACTTAAATCTCGAGCCAGCTGTGATTTCGGCTGGGGCTTGGCACGCGGCAGTTGTGGGGAAAGACGGTCGAGTTTGCACCTGGGGATGGGGAAGGTACGGTTGTTTGGGCCACGGGAATGAAGATTGCGAGTTGGTACCTAAAGTGGTGGAAGCAATTCGTGACGTGAAAGCTGTCCACGTGGCGACGGGAGATTATACAACATTTGTTGTCTCGGATGGTGGGGAAGTTTATTCTTTCGGCTGTGGAGAGTCGTTGAGTCTTGGTCATAACCGAGCTCCTGATGAACAGGTTCGATTTTTTTAATTTAAATTAAAGAAAAAGACTCCTAAATAGTTCATTTGTCACAATATAAGATAGAATCAAATAACAAGGCTATTTTTTGCAATTAGACCTTTTCATCCCAGCTGAACGAGCGACTAATTCAAACTATTTTCATGTTATCTGCATTGATTGATTACGAAATAACCGATTTTTGATGATATATTCGGTACTTAGGGGAACAGGCAAACAAATGTGCTGAGTCCGCAGCTCGTGACTTCCCTAAAGCAAACGAATGAAAAGGTTGTACAGATAAGCCTGACTAATTCTGTATACTGGAATGCGCACACTTTTGCTCTCACAGAATCGGATAAGCTTTACGCGTTTGGGTCTGGTGATAAAGGTCAGCTTGGTGTCGAGCTTGACCCCGATCGTACTGAGCGGGCCAGGCCAGAACGGGTTGATATTGATCTCAGTTGAATGTGTGAATTTAAAGGGAAAAAAATAAGAACGTTTATTTATCGTTGTACATTTTCTGCATATTCTCGTGTTCGTGTTTATAGGGTGTTGTGTAAATAGAAGAACACAGGGACCTGTGAATAAAGTGTAGGGATTTAGGAGCAGCAGAAATTAATTAACTTCTTTAAAAGTTCTTTTAGCTCTTGGCCAGTAAATAGGGGTTTGATAAGTTTAAGGTTGACATGGCTGAAAAGGTTTTAGCCATGTGAAGATGACCTGATGAATGGTTTGATGATGGATTCTGACTTTTTTTTTTTTTTAAAGTTTGTTCATAAGTTTGATTCTTAAAGTTAAAGCTTTGCAGTTATTTTCAGTTTCCCATTTGATCTCTTTTTCATTTTGTCGACTTACTATTTTTTGTGGGGGTACAGTTTCATTCTCACACAGAGTCTTGCCATTAAAGCAATTTCATCATGTGGAAGAAACCCTACCAATTTTGGTTAAAATAGAAATAATAACCCACCGAAATAC